AGGAAAGTCTGAGTAAATTGATTTGGGATGTTTTTCTCTCCTTTTTTTTCCCCCTAGAGATTTACTTCTCCAAGTGAGAGTTCAGGTGCCAGGAAAGGAGGCTCATGGCATTAAGTTTCTAGGGCTGTCACTCTAATAGAGTGTATTACAGCTTTTTAAAACCCCATTGCTTTTTAAAGCAATAAACCAAGCAATGTTCTGATAACAACTTCAGTTTCTAATTGTCTGTGCTCCAAAGCATTGCTTTGTTTCTTTTGACTTCTAAGTAAGTGATACACAATGCTTCATCTAAAAATGTGTTGCTACCATAGAAATAAGAAAAAAATAGGTTTTGCTGATGGCTTTTTTTTATTATTATTATTTATAGCAGACACACAGGAATTTACTCTCCCTCTGCCAACCTTCCTGGCTCTTTTTCTATCAAGGATGTTTTCATTAGAAGTTTGGTGTTCCTCCATTGTTTAACACTTTCCTCTAGCTCTAAATAACTCAGTTTAAGCCCATTATAAAGCAAATGATCTCTTCCTAAAAGATTAAAAATGGCTAGCAGAAGATAGTTGCTTCCTTTCTCAAAGCATAAAGCTTCCTCCAGAGTAAAAAAAAAAAAAAAAAAAGTAGGAACAGGAAACATGACTGACAGATGGAAAGATGCCTCTGGTTTTCACAGCTGAATTTGCATGTTAAAAATGAGTGCTTCAGCAACCCCCAGCCTTTGCCCTCCTTTGGAGGAGGTGTTGCCCTCCCCGAGTTCACTGTGTGTCCTGCACAGCTGAGGAGGGACATGGTAGGTGCAAGGCAGGGGAATAGAGCGATAAGGACAGAGACTGCGTGGGCTGGTATGGCTGCTGTAAGGAATCCAACAGTTGGTTTGCTAGGAGCTGCTGCGTTTGCTGTCAGAGCAGGCTTTAGCTGCATGGCTTAGAGTTTAGGAAAGCGGTTAACTAAAGGACTGGCTTTGGTCTGAATTACAGAGGTCAGTGATAGGGTAATTTGGCTACCCCAAGATGAGGTTTGATTAAGATTGACATTTGCAGTAAACAAGGCACAGCAGAGTTAATCAGCAAGGCCCTCCTCTTTCATATATTCTATATTATTAAATTCTATGTTGTTCATATATATATATGAGAGATATATTGTTCTTTCTCCTATGCAAAATTTACCCCCTATGAAAAGTTAGTGAATTCAGTATCTTAGATTGAGATTAAGATGTTATGTGGAGAAGACAGGTACTAGGCTCATCTACACTGGATGCCAATGGCTTTTACAAAGAAGGGAGAGGGAGCTGCAGGAGGTGCAAAGATCAAGGAAAACTGGAGCAAGAATAGAGTATATTTGGAAATAATGTGAGATGGCTGGGAAGTGCCCAGGGTCTGGGATCTGTTCCTCTGATCTCTCTGCTACTCTGGAGAATACGGGCTTGCTTCAGGGCATATTTACTTCAGCTCTTTGCCCACAAAATTGAGACTGACATCTTGTATTATTTCTTCTCACCCAGTATTTTTATTCCTTGTTTTCTTGGTGGAAGAGAGTAAGGTGCTCTAAAGTTTAGAGTAGAAAAACCTAGACAGACTGGGGAGCAATGTAGTAAGAAATGAGTAAGAAACTTGAATTTGAATGGGAAGAGGAGCGATGTGCCACCACCATGCATATGTTTGGTGGAAAGTGGCTACTCCATGGCCATGTGGAACCAAAAAATCTGAACCGTGCTACCAAGGAAGTGTGCAGAAGATGAGTGTGCTGTGTATTCTGCAAGTGCTGCTCACACAAAGCTAAAGCAGCTAACCCCCAACATTTCACAGGGCAGGGCTTTCAAACTAGTATTTCCAGATTAGTAGTTCACATGTCACTGAAGAGTTGTGCGTTGCTTCAAAATGACGTACAGCTCAGCAGGGGCTGAAAGTTGCAGCTGCTTTCGCTGGTGCTGGTTGTAGTATCTGCTGTGCCTGCCATGGGCAGTAGAAACATCCAAACAAAAATGCTTGCAAAACCCTGGCATATAGAAATAGAGAGAAGTTTATCCTCCCATAAGGTTTCTCTAAACCAGAAAGTTAATGAAAAGAAAGAGAGCGTCTGTGTGAAATGTCTGTTCACAGCAGTGTTTTCCAGTATGACAAATTATGGATTTTATACTGATGTGTCCCTAATGCCATTTCTTTTGAACTTGCATTTGGTGCTCATTTCAGTTTAACGAAGCATAACATTAACAAACAAAAGTCCCAATGAGTGAGAATAGCACTGGGCTTTCACATGCTCATCAGAAGGCTTTTGTATTTTTAATTAGTAAGCCATATAACTTGTTGGGGTTTGAACTGATTGTTGCAGAGATGCCATGCGGTTCGATCCCTGAAGACTGGTGAAACCATCGCTACGTACAGAACATCCTGGGGACCCCTATGTAAATCGGCTGGTGAGTTATGAATAGATGCTTACAGAAAGGGGACACAGAATAACTATCTTTTCAAGATTCTTTTTCACTGGCAAAGGAACCTGAAGACCTGTGATACAAGGTTTTCTTGCCCCTCTGCATATTTTTCTGAGGAGCAGGCATTCTTACTGAAGCCATGTGGCAGTGTGGAAAAGCATGTGTGCTCCTCGGTGAAGTGACTGTCAGATTGTCAAGAAAATGTAGATAAAGTGCTTCATGTAGCTATTTGCACAGGGTAGCAAGTACAGCAGCCACAAAATCAAACAGTTGTTACAATTGTAAAGTATGAAAGCAGCTTGAATCTTTTAGATTGCAATCAGTTTTTCAAGTATTTAACACTGTTGCTAGACCACAATTATATTGAGGTCTGAAGTCCAAAATCAGAGAAGAAAAGAGACTGTATTGTTGTGTTTCCTTAGACTCCCTGGTATTGACTTCATTACTATCGTGAAGGAAAGTGGCAGAGCACAGCTGATGGACAGCACCTTGGTTAATCTGGTGGAGTGGTACAGTACAGGCTAATAGAGAGCGAACACCAGCGCTGTGTACAAGCATGGTCTAATTTGTTATGCGTCTGCCTTTTTTGCATTTATCCCGAGTGATGTTTTCAAGGCCACCTGTGGCCTCTGACATTTTCAGTCATTTGGCCTCCTCCAGCCATTTGCATTCATACCTTATTAACGTAAAACACTCATTGAGAGTATTTGTACACACCAATACCAGAGTTTTAACACATGGCTACTGTGAATAGACAGAAGTCACTCCCTTTCCTCCTACTGGTTGCCTGTTTTGCCAGTCACTTAACACTCTTTTGACTGTGGATGTAAGTTAATGCTGGACTATTAGTGGGTTCAGGGTATTTTTTTCTCTTCTGCTGTGATGGTCAAAATGTTCTTTTGGACCTAGAAACTGGCTCTGACTTAGCATATTGTATTTTTCCTCCATTACATGCAAGTATTAGTCTGTTAGAATAGGCCTTCAGTGTTCATTTCTGAACTAGTTCTTTTTTTAAAACTTAGCAATTAGTACAGCTTTCTTTGTACAGCACTTATATCGAGTAGGTCTCACTCCCATTTTCACTGGAGACCCCAATGCATTTCTAATACTGAAAAATGATTGTTAACACAAAAGGAACTCTGGTGAGGGGAGCTTTATATGGGTTGTACTACATCGATTCCTAGGCAAAGGTGGCACTACTAGATGTTGTCTCCTATTTCCAATTTGAATACTTACATTGAATTTTAAGTGTGAGGCTGGACCTAGACAGTGATACGCATCTCTGTGTTGAAGGAGACAACATGAATTATGATGTCAGGTAAGCTGCAGTGAAACATGAAAAAAGCTTTAACTGCTCTGCCTATACTGCTTAGCCACATGCTATAGCAAAGACCACTGACACATATCCTCAAGAAGGCCTGTTCTGTCTGTGGCTGGCTACAGGCTGCCATTTCCACTGTGCGTCTTCTTTTTTATTGCTTTGTTTCATACTGAAATTCAGAAATAAGCCTAAATATGTTATGCAGCACTGCTTTGGCCTGTCTTGGAATGACACGCCGCACGTCACGTAGCTTGGACACCGCTATTGCATACCTCTGTGGCTGCCAACAGTGCCCTTCGGCCAAAGATCTTGTCTCTAATTACAGGCATGGATGCATTAATATCTGCCTTCTGCGCAGCTCAGGTACTGCACAAGTGCTTGGCTAAGTAAGTGCTGTCCTGAAAATGTATGCAGACAAATAGATGTTTTTGTAGGTTCATCAAGTATTTACAAGAATGAATTAGAGGTGTGCAAGAGTACATGTAAAACATGGATAGAAGCATAATGTTAAAGGAAGAGGGAGATCTCTGCTGACTAGAATGGGAGCTTAGAGACCCAGCACACATGGAGAATCCTTCCCCAAATACTTTGTGTTTAAAAAAGTGTTACATATCAGATAAAAGCAAATCAAGGGGTTTTTAATCATCATAGATGAATGAGGGCAGGATTAAGATGGGAGAATGCTTCACCTCTAGGGTCATTCTGAAAGTAAGGCATCATTTCAAAAAGTCATTAGTACTGACACTTTAATTCTTATTTTAACAGAAAATTGTAGAGCCAAATTCCAAAGACACATCACACTTATGTCTGCAGGGACTCTACACTTGTATGTAAAAAGAGAACTTTGACTGTGGCTCACAGACATTTCCATGAGAATCACCCTCCCTAAAAGGCTGAGACACTTCTCTGTCACAGCTCTGTGCTTCAACATGCATGTTGGCTAATTTGTAGGCAAGGCTTGTTTCTTACCCCAGGAAAAGATTGAGGAATTTCAAAGTTTTTTTCTTTCATCTCTTGGGCTTTTTTAGCATCTGATTTGAAGAGAGAGAAGGAGGCTGGGATGGGAGTTGGATACATCATCCTCATTGCCTTTGCTGTCTTTGGTTTTGTGCTGGGAGTTGTGAGCCTTCTCATTTTCCAGTACCAGCGAAAGGCGGGAAGATACAACTTCAGAATCAAGTCTGACAACTTCAGCTACCAAGTGTTCTACAATTAGTGACTTCCAGGTTACCAGATGTAAGTCCTGAATTATGATCTGTTACTTTTTTTAGCTGTTTATCTCTTCCTGAAACGGTTACATACTTGCAGAGGAGCAGCCTCTGTTTAAGGGTATTTGAACCTCCTGTCCTGTTTGCTGTGGGTGAAGGTCATAGAAGTAAGAATGAAATTCCTACTATTCTTGCCTGTTTTCAAATGCTGCAGACTACAGAGGAGGAAGACAACCTTCTCTTTTTCATCTTCCTTCATAGCTTCATTCTCAGTCAGAGAAGAAGACACACCACTTTAGAAGAACACCAATAACTGTTTCCACAAAAAGTATATGACTTTTGGGTTTGGATCATGGATTAACATAATAAAGGAGAGAAACTTTACCACTCTCTTTATAAATCTGCTTCAGAAGCTAATTTGCTTCAGAAGATATCCCTTTCTGCAAAAGCTTGGGTTTAATTTTTTTTTTTTTTTGAAAGGGTGTTTTTCAAGAAAATAGTCAGATGTTAGACATAAAGAGCTTGAAATGCTGATAATGCATAAGTAGTGCTTACAAGTGCCTGCAGAGAGTCTGAAAAGACAGCTCTGAGGAGTGTGAACCAATACCAAACACTCTGCTTCTGCAGCTTGGGAATTTAACACTTTTCCAGAATACCAGAGGATTCAGCACTTTTTCTGTAAAATGAACGTGTTCTAGCTGCTCACCACCATTTGTATGTTTGCCCTTTTAAGAGGAGGAGAGATAGGTGAGAAGGCTGGCTTGCTGAAAAAGAGCACCTAACATTGCTTCACAACTCCAGGATGTTCACTGCAGACCTGATTGGATTTTGTTCCTGAGAACAGGCTTATTTGACGTTGTTACCAGAGTTAGTCAGTAACTCTCTCCTGATGGAGGCCTTGTACATGACAATGCAGCTGCCGTGACCACAGTAAATTCACTAGACTCATCATGATGGTATTTGCAGATAATTTAGTCTGCCTCACTAAGTACAATAACGCTTAATATATACCACAGAGAAAGGACAGGGAAGCCTGTATCCCAGCTATCTGCTTGTAAAGTCTTGAATAGTCACTATTAGCTCTATTTCCCCTAGTCTTATATTACAGAGACCACCCTCTGTAGTCATCTATGGGCAGCTCCTAGGAGATGGCTGTAGGTGAGGGTGCTGCTCTGATTGCTTCCCAAAGGCTGGGCAGGGTTGCCTGTTGGCAGCCCAAAGGGAAGGTGCCCAGGGCTCCTTGGTACAGCTCCAGCAGCTGTACAGTTCCATCAGTGATACAGATCCCACGAGAGAGCCATAATCCAGCATAAAGGGCATATCTAGGTCCATTAATTTAAAACCTATCTATGAAGCCTCTGAGTCTATCTACAGAGAGAAGAATGGCTTGTCTTCATTCATCATTCTGCTCTCATGAGTGGTCACAGGTGACTGCAATACTTGATAGTAATGGAAATTCTGGAGTTGTGCAATGAGGTGGTAGCATAAAGGATATTGTCAGGCTCATAACACTTATACATCATGTTGGAGTCTCAGCTAATGGCTCCTTTTAGATGCTGGAGCTACTCAGCTCTTCTTTCCTATGCATTTACTTTCTTTGGGAGGTAGCTGATTACCTTTCTCAGTCATGATTAGTTTGGTTTTTATTTTTTCTAGTTGGATCTTGTCTCATCACTGGAGAACTGAAGCTTGTCTTCACTCAGCATTTGGATGGTCATGACTGGTTGCAACACTGACTCTTCCAAATTAATGTCACTTATAAAAGGCTTCTATCCCCCCTCTTTTTGATTTTTTTTTTTTTTTTTTTTTTTTAAGCAATCGGGATATTCCTGTTGTCCTAAGAACTGTTTGTGACTGCACCTCCAGGTTGAAGTGAATTTTGGCAGTTTTTTCCATGGATAAAATAGAAGGGAAAAAAGAAAGACTTCATGGTTCTCCATTCAAGTTCCGAGATTTGGCTCTCCCACTGTGCCACGTTGCTATGTGTGCATCTTAGCATCACTTGTGCCATTACTATTCACAAGCTGCATGCTTCTATAAATATTCCAGGAAGTAAATCAGCAAACCCTTAGAGGGATCTCCTTTTCAGTTAGTGATTCACTATTTACTTAAGGTGAGGTTGAAACTTTGAGCTGCAGCAATGCTGAAGACCTAATTGTGCAATGCCTTAAGTATACAGGAGCTGGAGAGCAAGTTTGGTGGGTTGATCTGAGCTGGACGCCAGGTGCCACCAAGCCGCTCTATCAATCCCCTTCTCAGCAGGACAGGTGGGGAGAAAATGAGATGGGAAAAAAAAAAAACCAAACCCTCGAGGGTCAAGATAAAGGCAGTTTAATAAAAAAAGCAAAAACAAAGGCCACACATGGAAGCAAAAAAAGAAAACAAAGATTTTATTCTCTAATTCCCATCAGCAGGTGATGTCCAGCCACTCCCTGGGAAGCAGGGTTTCGATACACGTAGCGGTTGCTCCGGAAGACAAATGTAAATAACGAATGCCCCCCCGCCCCTTCCTTCTCCTTTCTCTTAGCTTTTATTGCTGAGATGACATCATATGGTATGGAATATCCCTTTGGTTGGTTTGGGTCAGCTGTCCTGGCTATGTCCCCTCCCAAGATCTTGCCCACCCACACCTACTGGTGAGGGGGAGAAATGTTGGAGAGACAGCCCTGATGCTGTACAAGCACTGCTCAGCATTAACAAAAACACTGGTGTGTTATCAACACCTTTCTAGCTACCAATACAAAGCACAGCACAGAGGGCTTCTGTGGGGAAGATTAACTCCATCTCAGCTAGACCCAATACAACAAGTATTGGATTTGCTACCAAATAAAGAAAAGGCACCATGAATCTGGGGCTTAATCTACTCAGAGCGTTCTTCAGCTTGAGTTTTGACATTTGATTGTAAATTTTTTAATCAACAAGGACTCAGTGTAAAAAAAAAAAAAAAAGAAAAGAAAAAAGAAACTATTTTTGCTACTGGCAGCCCATGTTTTTCCAGATAAGTCAATTAGTACCTACGTATTCTGTTTAACTAGACCACAATGATTGTGCAGTCAAGCCACAGAGTGTGCTGCCCACAGAAGTGAGAGCACTCCAATTGCAACAGAATAGTTATAAATTTGAGCTGAATTTTGCCTGGCTGCGAGACCCTACCCGTAGTACAGCAGCAAAGGTTTAGTTTACATGCTCCACTGGGTACAACAACAGTCTGTTCAGCTGGATAAACTGCAACAAAAATCTTTTGCACAATCTAAGCATCTCCTGCAG